GAGGTCATTGAGGGGTCACGGAGGTCAAAAATGTCACAGAGGTCAGAGATGTCACCCACGTTGAGTAACACACAATGATAGCGGTGGGTGAGGCGGAGGGCTTGGCGGTGAATGCGGGATTTCCACGCGGGCGCGCACGCTAGCTGCACTTACTGATGAGCCAATCGCGTAGCAGGGGGAGCCAGAATTCGGGGAGGCCGCCGTCGTCGTTCTTGATGATGTTGCCGATGCGCGTGAACGCGTCGTGGTAGTCGTGCAGCAGCTTCTGGTGCTTCGGGTAGTCGAAGTTACCCTGCGCAGAACAAGCGAACGTTCTAAATCGCGCGCCATTTGAGAGATATATGAGAGTTGGTCGTGGTGAGCGAGACGTTACACGTTAATGTACTGGACGCATTATGATCCCACAATGCACTGCATGCGTTTGATTTTTCCTGTAATACCAGAAACATAGTTTCGCTTCACTCCCACAATACACTGCATGAGCTACACTCCCACAATGCACTGCATGAGCTCCAATCCCACAATGCACTGCATGAGCTACACTCCCACAATGCACTGCATTGCATTTTCACTCCCACAATGCACTGCATGAGCTACACTCCCACAATGCACTGCATGAGCTACACTCCCACAATGCACTGCATGAGCTACACTCCCACAATGCACTGCATGAGCTACACTCCCACAATGCACTGCATTGCATTTTCACTCCCACAATGCACTGCATGAGCTACACTCCCACAATGCACTGCACTGAATTTTTACTCCCACATCACGATCCGCAACGCGCGCATGCGTGGAAGCAGCATTCCTCGACACCCGTACATTTCGCTCTCGCCCCGCCCCCCGCGCATTACCTGAGTGACGGCAAACATGTAGTAGAAGTCGAAGTACTTCTGCCGCGCCTCGAGGAAGCGGAACTCCGTCGTATGCCGCGGCACCAGGTCCGTCACGTCCAGCCCGTCCTCCACCTGCGTGATGCCCCAGGTGGCAGCACCGAGCAGCACGACAAACATGAGAACAGCTGTCAGCTGCAACATGACGAAGCTGTGAGTTAGAGGAGATCGTCAGAAGAGATTGGGAGTCTGTGTAAGTCTTGCGTGAATCTCTCCGTTCACAATGGCGTAGGATGATGCATCATGTGGCTCCGCGACACATTGCAAACACAGATTCGCACACGAATGCAGCAAATCATCGATTGTGAAAATATTAATTATATTAATTCGCTACTTTAAATATTAATAAAATAAATTCTTTTTACCTGCAAAACAAAAACGCAAGTAATTCATATTCCTTCTCAGCATGTTTTGTGCAATTTTGCTACTTCAACACCGATCGCTCACTATCTCTCTCTTAATCTCTCTCTCTCTCCCATATTATAATTGATATCTGTATTATATGCTTATATAATGATATAACTGATAATATGCTATATAATGATATACTGATAATAATTCCGTATATTAATACGGTTTAACGTGATAATATTCCTATATAATGATATACTTTGATCTATGCTATATAATGATTACTACTGAATAATTACTATATAAAATTAATGATATAGCTGATAATATGGCGCTATATAATGGTATACTGATAATATTCTAATATAATGATATACTGATAATATGGCGCTATATATGATATACTGATAATGATACCTATATAAATGATATACTGATAATGATTCCTATATAATGAAATATATCTGATCATATTCCTATAATTATGGTATATGATAATATTCTATATAATGATATACTGATTAATATAGCGGCTATATAATGATATACTGATAATATGCCTTATATAATGATATACTGATAATATACCTATATAATGATATACTGATAATGATACTATATTAATGTTATTACTGTAATATGCCTATATATATGATAAGCTGTGGGTGAATGTATACTGGATAATTATATCTATATATATGATTATATTGATAATACTACGGTATATATATGATATAACTGTATAATATGGCCTATATTATTGATATACTAATGCATATACGGCTATATAATGCATATACTGATGAATTATACGCTATATTAATTGATTATACTGGGATAATATTCCTATATACATGAATATTACTGATAATATCCCTATAGTAATGATTATATCTTGATATATTATCTATTACTAATTGAATATACCTGATTCATATTACCTAATATAATGATATACTGATATCATTTCCTATCATATTATGATATAAATGATGAATATTACGCTATTATAATTGATACTACTGATCATATTCCATATATATACGTATACCTTGATAATATACTTATATATATGATATACTGATAAATATACTATTATAATGATCGGACTGATATGATGACTGATCGGCATTTTTGTATGACGTCTCGTGCGGATTATGTCGGATGTCATATAGCATATCGATGTCTAATTGATGTCATGGTCATTGTTTTTTTTATATTTATTAGATGAGTTATTAATTTTATAGGTCGAAGTATGTGTTGAATGTAGCACATCTGATTAATGAGTCAGGCTATAGTGTTAGTTTGTTAGTCTGTTGAATTATTTAAAAGGGATTAGTAGTTCCTTATTTTACTTTATTAATGATTTCGGATTATGTGCGTGTATCCTTTTGTTTTAGAGATGTAAGTTAATGTAGTATGATAGTGTGGAAGGTGAGAGTGCGAGAATTAAAGTTGAAAGATCTTGATTAAGTTGTAGAGATGCTTTGGGCGTTATAACTTAGGGCATGATGTTGACTTAGGTTGAGAAGATCTAGCATGAGCTGACAAGACTGTTGAACTGAGGTTGGCAGAATGTTGAATTAAGTTGCGAGATATTGAGTGTTTTAGTTGAGAGAGATGTGAATGAGTTGGCAGATGTTGAATAAGTTTGAGAGAGCATTGGATTAAATTGATGAGAGAATGTTTGAATCTTGAGTTGGCAGATGTTGATTACGTTGAGAGACATTGAGTTATAATTGAGAGATGATGTTGAAGCTGGAGTTTGGCAGATGTTGATATTAAGTTGAGAGACATGTTTGAGTTAAGTTGAGAGAGATGTTTTTGATACTGAGTTGGTAAAGTGTTGCTATGGTTGGCAGGTGTGCGCGTTTCCTTGGCGCTAGGATAATTGGGCGTGCGACGACATTGTTCCTCGCGTTGCGCATCACGCTTCTCTTGCATGCTGTCTACATCGTGTTACCCGGTTTACCCTGAGGGGGCAGGTGAGTAGGGCGCTTCCAATGCTTATTATTTACAGATGATTAATATATTTATATTAATTATAATATTTTAAATTATTTATATTTATTTTATTTTATTCATTCTTTAAAATTATAAAATTTATTATATATTTATACTATTTTTAGATTACTGATATTATCAATCTGGGGCTCCATGAGCCTAACAGTGATCGAGTGGAAATCAGTTTAATATAAAAGTATGTGAGAAGACGTTAAGAGGGAGAGAGAGGGGTAGTAAAGCGGGCGCGAAGTGGCAGCCATGCAAAACAGGGAGGGTGAAAACTAAAGATATGGGGAGATCGTACGTAAGAAGGAGAGAGAGAGAGAGAGGGGAGAAGGAGGGAGTGTGTGACAATTTGTCTCTCATTTTCGTCAGAGATTCATACGTTGTTGTTATTACATGCTACGTGACTGCGCTCAGGCAGTCTTAGCTGGAGGAGGGGTAGGGAGGGGGAGTTTGTTATGTTGTTGGGGTGTGATAGTGGGTTGATCGGATTCATACTGTACCTTCCATGGAGTTCATAACTAGCAGCAGAATGCGGTAGGTAGAGCTCTATAAGTGTGTTTACCCCGTCTCTTCTTGTCTACAGCACACTAGTCGCGGCGTGCGCGCTGTGCACACAGCCGCACGCAGCGGCACGCACGCACAACCGCACGCACGCACGCACGCATCGCTACGGGTGCACGTACGCAACGCACAACGGCAACGCCCACGGCAGCGGCACGCACTACGCGCACACGAAGCGCACGAACGCTGAAGCTGCACGCAGCACACGCGGCAGCGCACGCAGCATGCAACACGGTCACGGCAGCGCACCACGAGCGCAGACGCTACGCCGTGGCGTATGACGCACGCAGCAACACATTACACACATAGCAACACACACACACAGCACACAGCAACAGCAACACACCCAACACACACCCATGCGCGGCGCAGACGCACGCAGCAAACACGGGCTCCCGCTTTGTCCAGGCTCGTAATCTTAGAGGCTTGGCAATTTAGTGACGGATTCCAGACCAGCCGCAGAAGCGGTTTGCGATTTTAAAATGCGTCTCTGACGTCCTTGAAAATACAGCCATTGGCGGCAGGAATTCGCTGCAAAATAGACTATTATTTGGTGCTTGGCCGCTCGCGCATCGAGCACAATTTATCCATTGTGTTCAAACGATTGTTAGAGCCACTGATAACAACGAATAACGTTTAATGTGCTGAAGATCCGACGTTACAGTTATTATATATATTATATATTATTAAATGTATGTGATGTATATTATATATATATATATATATTATATATGTATGTGTGTATATTATATATATATGATGCAGGGGTTTAATAATGGCTATAATTTTTGTCATGTATTAACGCTGATATTATATATATGATGTATATTATAATATTATATATATATATATATATATATATATATATATATATTATATATCTATGTATAGTACATGTCGTAGAGGCAGGCGCAGTGTATGGGGCGGTGGTCGTTGACGGCTGCAGTGTGGTGGATCGTCTGCTTGCAGGCACAGCTCGGCGAGGGACTGAAGCGCATGGGAGTCAGCGTCATCCTCACGTCTGTCACCAACGTGCTCGCATTCTTCGCCGCCGCCATCATCCCCATCCCCGCGCTGCGAGCCCTTCTGTCCTGGGCAGGTACGTGGGTCCTCCGACTACACACGCGCGCAGCCACAGCGGGGGCGCGCCTCGGTCACCTTCACGGTGTGCCAGAGAGGGCGCCACGGCTGCGCAGGCGACGCGATCGTGGTCGTTTTGCTCGGGGCGTCTTGAATTTCTTGTTCTAAAAGTGGATTTTTTTGTAGAAAATTTGTGGCGCGTATTTTTTTCGGTATCGCGTATTTAAACTGGCGTCGCTGCACCGCCTCACGTCTTTCTCCGCAGCGTAACCAACCGGCGGTAGGTACGGTGGGAGCAGGTTGCGGCAATGGCAACGCGTGCCGGTGTAATCAGGTGCGAGCGCATGGCGTGAGCGGCGCTTTATGGCGGCCATAAACAGTGCGTAGCTGGCCGGCCGGAGGGCGGGCGGGCGGGGCGGGGAGGGGGAGGGGAGGGCGGGGGCGGGGCCCGGACCACCCAGGCGGCAGACGGTCTGGTAACACGTTGAAGAGGTCGTTGCGTACCGCGAGCGTTGAGCATGACATGGATAGGCGCGGCAGCATGCCGTACGCGCCGGTCACCACAGCTGCAGGCGGCGGTGTGCTGCAGGCGCGTAGAATGCATGTAGTTTGTATGCAACTAGAAGTGAGAGAGAGAGAGGGAGAGCGAGGAGAGAGAGAGAGAAAAGAGAAGAAAAGCGTCAGAGAGAAATAAAGAGGGGGAGAGAAAGAGAGAGAAGAGAGAGAGAGAGAGAGAGAGAGATGAGAGGAGAGAGAGAGAGAGGAAGAGAGAGAACGAGAGAGAGAGAGAGAGAGAGAGAGAGAGAGAGAGAGGAGAGCACAGATGACCGAGAGTAGAGGAGAGGAGAAAAAAGCACACACGATGAAGACACGGGTTACTGCGGCGTTCTTTGTGTGCGTGTGTGCGCGGCGGTGATTGTGTGCGCGGTGTGCGTGGCATTCGTGGCATGACGCGCATACGTACGTGGCATGTGTGTCGAGAGAGAGAGAGAGAGAGAGAGAGAGAGATAGAGAGAGAGAGAGAGAGAGAGAGAGAGAGAGAGGGAGAGAGAGAGTAGAAGAGAGCGACTTCACTGGCAAGCAGCATCGCGCGCAGCAGTGTGGTGTGTGTGTGTGTGTGTGTGTGTGTGTGTGTGTCTGTGTGTGTGTGTGTGTGTGTGTGTGTGTGTTGTTGCTGTGTGTGTGTGCGTGATGTGGTGTGTGTGGGCAGCAGCAGCATGCGTGTTCTACGCAACTAGCATTTCTCTGTGACTACCACCTCTGCTTATCACACATACAAACATACATACATACATACATTACATAGATATACCTACATACATCGCTGGTGTCGGTCTGCGGCAGCGGGGCTAATGCTGATGCTGTCATACAATGGTTGCCAATGGGTTGCTCTTACCGCGCATCGTCAGGCCTCGTCACATGCGCGAGACGACGCGGAGTCAACAGACCGAGTCGACGTCCTACTGCTGCTTCAGAGGGTAAGTAGCCATCACATGACCTCAAGCACTGACCCAAGCATTGACCCATGCAATGACCCATGCATTGACCCATGTATTGACCCATGCAATGACCCATGCATTGACTCATGCAATGACCCATGCATTGACCCATGTATTGACGGCGCACGTCATTGACCTCATTAGCAATGACCCATCATTGACCCATGCATTGCTCATAGCAATGAGCCCATGCAGTGACCCATGCAACTGACCCATGCACATGACAAGCCATTAAGTGAGCGGCCTGGACACTGGACACTACGGTTGTTGGAACGATAAGTGTGAGCACTGTTATAATCATGATTCCATGGATGAACATGAGCAGAGCATAAATCTCGGAAGCGTGAAACTCTCCCACACACAGGCTCAGCTCGAACAAGGTCGTGGAGTTGAAGCCGGGAGCGTTGGGGGCGCCACCGAAGCAGTACGAACGGCTGCGCGAAGAAGATCATCACCGCGCGCTGCCCGGCATTCCGCAGTGCGAGACCGTGCTCGCACCTATAGACCTAGAGGCACAGCTACCTGGTGAGTCTGACGTGCACGCACGCACGCACGCACGCACGGCAACGCACCACGCACGAACGCACGCACACATAGCACACACGACACACTAACGCACCGCACGCACGCATCACACATACACACACACAGAACAGGCATACACATCCTAAATACACACCGCACACGCACACACGTACAGCACACGCACGACGCACCGCGACACGCACGACACACGCCCAACACAACCACACGCACACCGCACAGTGACGGCACACATACGCACACTACTCCAGACACGCACACACACACACACAGCCACACACACACACATACACCAACAACACACACGTACACACACGTGCACACCACCACAAATGTAATATGAATAAATAATAACAGTATAATATATGGTGATATAAATGGCTAAGCAGTAACTATATATATGTACTAATGTACAGCATAGTAATAGTTGCACGCTATACTGTATGTGTAATGTGTGACCGTGTCGTGGCATCGCAGCTAACGCTAAACATGTGAACATCTCTGGCAAGACGCGCCGACTCGCTGGCGACGAGCGTCGTCAACGCGACGTCGACGCAGCAGCTGACGACGACGAGAAGCGCCCTCTACGGGACAGATTGCGGCCGAGATCGCCAAGCGCGACGTGCTGCACTGTCGATCAACCGTTGTTTGGCACGTACTACTACGCGGCCACAGGCTCGAGAAATAACTGCTGGGTGAAGGTAGAGATAACTAGTATGAGAGAGGGGTCGAGGGCGAAGAGCAACGAGATAGAAGAGATGAAAAGAAGAGAGAGAGAGAGAGAGAGAGAGAGAGAAAGAAGGGAAGAGAGAAAGATAGACAGAGAGAGAGAGAGGGAGAAGGAGAGAGCGCGAGAGAGACAGAGCGAGAGAGAGAGAGAGAGAGAGAGAGAGAGAGAGAGCAGAGAAGAGAGCGAGGGGGCGAGAGAGAGAGTGAGAGAGAAGAGAGAGAGAGAGAGAGAAAGAGAAGAGAGAGAAAGAGACGAGAGAGAGAGAGAGAGAGAGAGAGAAGAGAGAGAGAGAGAGAGAGAGAGAGAGAAGAGAGAGAGAAAGAGCGAAGAGATGAAGAGAGGAAAGGAGAGAGAGGCGAGCGAGAGAGAGAGAGAAGCAGAGGGAGAGAGAGAGACAAGAGAGAGCGAGGAGAGAAGTACAGAAGAGAGAGAGAGAGAGAGAAAGTAGAGAGAGAGAAGGAGAGAGAA